ATAACTGGTGAGGAGGTGTTAAAACTTATTCGAACGTTGTACCAACGTCGTAATTTCGGTGTGTGTTTGGCGGGATATATATGCGCCCTTTCACACGCTTTTGTTTGTAAATACGTTCACGCGTGTTTAACACTTGTGTTTGACGAAATGAATGAGACAAACAAACCAAGATACATAGAAGAGAGAAAAAGAGCAAAATAAAAGGGATTGAAAGTAATAAAAGAAGAAATAAAAGCAAAACAATAAAAAAACGGTGTTTTTTTTTCGTCAGTGCTGAGAGGAACAGATGCTGGGACAGTGTGAGACAGATGCTGGGACAGTGTGAGACAGATGCTGGGACAGTGTGAGACAGATGCTGGGACAGTGTGAGACAGATGCTGGGACAGTGTGAGACAGATGCTGGGACAGTGTGAGACAGATGCTGGTTAGTGATCTTGTGAGATGTTGGACGACAGATGCTGGAAGAGAGAGAGACAGATAATGTCGGGAGAGACAGTGATATTTTGTGTTGGACTTAAGACCAACCAACCTCTGGAGGGAAATTAAGGCCACCACAATACCTTACTGACCACCAGCAAGTATACTTTAGTCCTGAACATTAAAAAGTTAACTCTCAATGTATATACTGAGAAACGCAATGCGCTTCTCGTTGTACATAAAAAATGATAACGTATCATCGACAAGTCTTAGACAGGTCGTAAACATATCGTACAGGTCGAAAACCTATCATAGACAGGTCGTAAACCTATCGTAGACAGGTCGTAAACCTATCGTAGACAGGTCGTAAACCTATCATAAACAGGTCGTAAACCTATCGTAGACAGGTCGTAAACATATCGTAGACAAGTAAACATATCGTACAGGTCGTAAACCTATCGTAGACAGGTCGTAAACCTATCATAAACAGGTCGTAAACCTATCGTAGACAGGTCGTAAACATATCCTAAACGTTTGAGCAAAAGGGAGGAACAAGCTCCGAGGAAAAATGACACAAGTAACAAAGGAGCACAACGTTCATAATTCAATACAATCTCCAAGAGCAATGCAGCAGCTGATGGGAGCAATGGAGATGTTATATGCACCAAAACTAACGTAGGTGATATTCTACAACAGAACGACGGGGTCGAAATGACCCAGAACTCCAACAGAGCGACTGGTAAAGCGGCCAAGGGTCTAAATGACCTCTGCAAGCATGATTAACCGAATCTAGATGCCTGAGGTCATCGCTAGTGTCGAAACTAAGAGAAGGTACCGCAAATCAGTCACATTTGGCAACCCCAAACCGAACACCGATTTCGTAAACAATGAGAATAGAGGCATTGTTAATCCCATGGAAGCCTATCACTCATTCCACTTCCCCCCCTCCCACCCCCCCTTTCTCCAGAGGGCTCATGGCGTTGAATTGACGTTAGCTCAGTATTGATAACGTGGACATGACGTCAACTGACGTTAGCTCAGTATTGATAACGTAGATACGACGTCAATTCAAAATAAAAATAAACTGTTCCAACCTCGATTTAATTAACTTATCGTCAATTACCAGGTTTGTGTATACTGTATTTTGTTCCATATTACTGAAACCCAGAACAAGGAACTGTACAAAGAACTATAATTTATACAATAAGTTGCTTAGCTAATAAACACTTAACTCCAGAGGTGATCAAAATGACTCGGGATCTATATCTATAGATCCTGATTCTTGGGTGGGATGAAACCGGTTGGGCAAGTTTTGTTTAAGCTGTAGAGAAAGACTCTTAAGTCTTGATTGTCCTTACGGTCAATATACCGTTTCTTTATTTAAACAAAATGTTATATCATGGTTACCCTCTGAATAACAAGAGAAAATTTCCCAGAAGGCACTGCGCTCATGTCGCCCAATTGAGGTCGCTCTCTGACGCTGTATACACACAAGTTTTGGGCCCCTTCTCAGCTACAGCCCTGGCAGTGACGACAGTTTTGGGGCCCTTCACTGCTACAACCCTGGCAGTGACGAAAGTTTTGGGGCCCTTCTCAGCTACAGCCCTGGCAGTGACGAAAGTTTTGGGGCCCTTCTCAGCTACAGCCCTGGCAGTGACGAAAGTTTTGGGGCCCTTCTCAGCTACAGCCCTGGCAGTGACGAAAGTTTTGGGGCCCTTCTCAGCTACAGCCCTGGCAGTGACGGCAGTTTTGGGGCCCTTCTCAGCTACAGCCCTGGCAGTGACGACAGTTTTGAGGCCCTTCTCAGCTACAGCCCTGGCAGTGACGACAGTTTTGGGGCCCTTCTCAGCTACAGCCCTGGCAGTGACGAAAGTTTTGGGGCCCTTCTCAGCTACAGCCCTAGCAGGCAGGTAGGTACCGTCACAGACAGGTATCCAACCCACGGTACCTGTGTGACGCCTGGTCTTCCCCGTATACCTGGAGTATACCTGGAGTGGGTTCTGGGAGATCTATTGCTCCCCAAGCCGCGGCTTGAGACCAGGCTTGACTTGTGATAACTTGGTCCTAGAGGCTGTAGACTGCAGGGGCCCGTAAGGCCTCCCATACCTACCCCCATTCCGGTTGGCCCGGTCCCTTAGGCTTTCCAAAAACACTATAAATAATTCCGTTCATGAGACATTGTCCCCAAGATGAGAAACATACATATGAACAATGTGTTCAGTATGTTCAAGTTAATGTGACTGTCTATAGCTTTTAACTCTTTTTTAAACCCTTGTTTAGTCCCCCGACCATCCAAGTGGTTGGATACCATTCCTTCACTCTGTCCTATCCCAGATCCTTATCCTCATATTCCTTTCAAGTAATTATTAAAATATCCCTTACAAGTGCCATAAAAGTCTAATGTCTTTGCGCTTTCCCCTGATCTTACATCTTTAAAACTTCAGGCTAACCTTAAGCAAAGTTTAATCCCTTAACAATACACACACACACACACACACACACACACACACACGTAGAGATGTGCACCCAATCTTCCTTACTGAATAAATATCCTAATAGTATACATATCAATGTATGATTTATATTTGTTTCATTACGTGATTACTAAAGTAAAAGCAATATGTTCTCTATACACAAACACTAGCTAATCGTCTCATTAAATATAAGTAAACCTCCCGAGAGAGAATACACACACCATGGCCGTCCTGTCCTCTTAAAAAGAACGTCGCTTTTGGCCGTTTGCCAGTATGGCCGAATATGGACGTAATTTGAAAATGAAAAAAAATGAAAATAAATTTGGGATTTTTTTTTCAACAACAGTAAGTTAAGGGTCCTCTGATAGGTTAGGTGGGCAGGAAATTCTGTTAAAGTTTTAAAACGGTATGAAAAACGTTGATGAAAAGTTTCCCCTTCTAAGCTTGCCGAGTAAGCCGGACGACGCCAACAGAAAACGGAACAGTACGTCACTTTTGTGAGTCAATTTCATTTCAAATTACGTCCAAATTTGGCTCGTATGCATAGCGCGCATACGAGCCAAAAGTGACGTTATTTTTAAGAGGACGGGTTGCATCATCATATAGTTTACTTGATATACTGCTCAATGCAGTTCTCAAGTTTGTTTAACTACGTGTTAGTTATCCCAGTAAAATACCAACATAGTATACACGACAAAGCTGTATGCTAGTACTCCTTCCCTACACTCCTGAGTGTATTAAAACACCAACTCAATACACACAAGGAATTTGATGTATTTCCTGCTTTAATCCTTTTAGATATACAGCCAAGTATGTAAAATCTTTGAAATACCTATAAGTCATTTTTTTATACAAAAGCAGCTGTGTACGAAGCATGACCCGCCCGTCTTCCTAAGGTTTTCCAACGTCAAGAAACTATTAAAGTGTCCTTATCCTAACCTTCCAGAGGACCCAAAACAGAAAACGGGGAAAGTTTGTAAATTTCGCGAGCCGCTACCATTTTCAAGTACGTCAGTTTTTGGCCTTAGGTAGAGTATACGTCAAAATGCGACGTTCTATTAGGAGGACGGGTTGACGCATGAGAGCACAGGAGAATATCATTGTCGACAAAAATGACATTATTACAGATCCAAAAATTATACCAGCACAAAACTAACAATAATATAATATAATTTTAACAAATATTCACATTACTTCCAGATGTAATTTGCATTTTTAAAACATCAACAATTAAATCTCTGCTTTAGCAAGAGATTAGAAAGCCTAAAGACCAGTTCTGTTTACCTGTCTGTCCCCCCCGTGTTCAGTCAGGACAAACTCCCATATCCCAGACTTTTGCTACCTCTGTAGTAATTACTTTTGTGAGAAAAAAGTACCTATTTTTGGTTGGGGGGGTCGCCGTCCCCCCCCCGTCTCGCCAGGCAAGCTGGACCTAAGCTACTCTATCCCTTTGAGATGTATTTCTTTCTTGTCTCAATAAACATACTTGAACTTGAAAATACAACTGGATGAGCACCAGCCAGTAGATGAGCAACTGCCAGGAGGTAGCCTAGCCGTAGCCTAACGTCTAGTAATCTGATGGGCTTATTGGTTGACCTATAGATATGTGTGTGGCTCTTCCTGCATGTATAATGTATGATGTATGTATGTATGTATGATGATATAGCAGTGTGGCGATGCATATGATGGTATAGCAGTGTGGCGTATGATGATAGATGATATAGTTTGTGTATATTTCCTTTTGTCTTATTTGTATTACATTTGGTTAAGAAGTTTATTAATGTGCTGAACTGTATGTTCTGTATTGTGCACTGTATGCCATGTACTGTGCACTGTATGTCATGTACAGTGACACGGTACATGACACTGACACAGTACATGACACCGACACAGTACATGACACTCTATGTCATGTACTGTGCACTGTCAAGTACTGTGCACTGTATGCCATGTACTGTGCGCGAGACATACGTTGAGAAACAACAGTGAACCATTGTGTTGTTGTTAAAGATTCGCTACCTGGAACAAAAAACTTCCAAGTAGCACGGGCTATGGTGAGCCCGTAGTGAACCCATTAATTGTAACACTTACCTTCTACCCCCAGGCCTTCAGCTGGCGACGATGAGTCGACATGAGGAGTCCGCCGGGACCTGCCCGGGGCTGTTCGACCAGATGATGAACTTCCTCACACTCGACATTAATGAGTGGAGCGGTGAGGTGGGTGTCTTATGAGTTGTTGCTTCTTGGGTTTAGGCGTCGTGACACTCCGGATCGTTGAACAGGTATGCCAGACGGCGGTGTCAAGACGCAGGTGCGTAAAAATCGCGTAACGGAACGTGTTTCGGCGGCCGCCACGTGGAGGAGATAGACATCTTGACGTCCGCTCGTCGTCGAGGTTGAGTCAGGAGTCCGGGTCCCGGATTCACGAAGCAGTTACGGGAGTACTTACGAACGTGAACATCTTTCCTCAATCTTTGAGGGCTTTGGTTATATTTATTAAATAGTTTACAAGCATGGAAACTTCCCAATCAACTGGTGTTATTGTTATAAACAGCCTCCTGGTGCTTCGGAGCTCATTAACTGTTTAATAATTGTAAACAAAGCCGCCAAAGATTGAGAAAAGATGTACAGGTTCATAAGTGCTTGAGTAACTGCTTCGTGAATCTGGGGGTCTCTTGAGTGTGCTAACCAGCACGTCCTCGTTAACACTGACCAAATGCTCGTTAATCTGGCCGCCAAATGAATGTTTATAGATGAAACACACTACTCACTGCTAGTGACGTTCCAGCTCTTCTCGAACTTTTAATATTCGTTCACTTTTAATAACTTTAAAAGTTATTAAAAACTGAAATCGCAACACTGTAAATGCTTCGCCCAAGTACTACAAATTCATATAATTGCCAACAACCTAAACACTGAACTTAACCTAATTTAGGCCTAACTATACAAAATTTCAAATTCTAATGTTAATTTATATATGAGACAATACTTATTTTGAATAAACTACGATGTATGGACGAGAATATAGAAGCCTGAGGACAGCTTACTAGGCTGCGTCCGAATCCCAAGATGCATTCCTAAATTTGACAAAAGTACATTTTATAAAAAAAAAAATATAAAGTATCATTATTATATATCAGAAATTTGTGCACATTTAGGCGTACGTTAGGATAGGCGCTAAGGTTCTATTAGCAAGTATTTATATTAGTAGTACGTGAAAAAAGGGAATTTGTCTGAGACAAATTCGAGCGTCAACAGTTGCGCGTCGTGTGTAATATGTTTATCATTGAAAAAAATGGGGTTTAATTTAAAATAAAATCATATATAATCATAGTTGCCGTTCTCTATACTCCCCATAACTATTGTTTTCTGCCTTCAGGACATCATCGACTGGGCCAAGAGCGTGTGTTCCCGTCACGGCATCGACCATCACAGCGTGAACCTCTTCCTCTTTCGGAGCTTCACTGGCACCCAGTTGGCCAGGCTTGGGCACCGGGAGCTGAGTGCCATCGTCGGCAACGCCTATGGCTTGGTTTTTTACAGCGAACTCCAAGCGCTGAGAAGCTGGCGTCGAGGGTCAGGTGAGCCCCCCACCAGTATGTTGTGGTATAGGGGGGAATGTTGCTTCCTTCTCCCCCTCTCCCTGTCCAGGGAGGGATATGTTGACGTCGAGGGGGTTCTCCCACGGTGGTGCGGGTTCTCCCACGGTGTAGTTTTAGTCCACACAAGGAGGAGGCGTTCAGTGCTCAGCAACTATAGATGTATCACTGGCAGCAATGTTCGCGAGACAAAATTATCATAACAAACCCACAATTTTTTTTTCTCCATTTGTTACTGCGAGGTTGACACCCCACGCTCTCAGCCCTGAGCGTTCTGCTGATGATATGTTGTTCACCCTTTCCGCCAGGTGGCATCAGCCACTGGATGACTACAAGGTCAACAGTGTCCTTGCACTGCAGATGTACTCATTGACAGAGTACAGCGCTATATTGACTGCTGACGGACCTTCAAGCGCTTGCATCTCAGGCACTGTTCAACAGCTCATAAGGGACTTCCTACAACCACGGACTCTATAAGTAGGTCCAGTGGAACCAGTGAACCACTTAATGGAACCAGTGGACCACTGGACAGTGGTACTAGACTGGACAGTGTTCATATTTGGACGGAGATACGTGGGAGATCAAGTGGAAGGACAGAATTACAAAAAAAAGCTTCGGAACACGGCTGTTCCCCCCTGGTTCATGCAGTACCTTGTATTATTATTATAACTTAACAATATAGGAAGGTTATTCACAATAAAAACTAGTAAAAAAAATTAAATAAATTAGTTTCTAATGGGCAGGCTTCAGATGAGTTATGGTACGATAGAAACTCTTAGCATTGGAGAGAGACAGAAAGATAGAGAGAGAGAGACAGAGAGAAAGAGAGAGAGAGTGAATATTAACTCATAATCTGGTGCATCACCACAAACTACATACACCTGTACCCATTCAAGGCACAACCACCCCATCAAGCAGCGTCGACGTCGCCCCCTCTACCCCCAGCAGCACCACCAGTGATGGCGTGGCTCCGACAGACACGGAGGAACTGTTCTCGTGGTTGGACGCCCAACACTCCCCGCTGCCCCAAGGCTCCCCCTGGAACCAGCTGCTGGAACGAGACGACCTGCAAGATTCCCTCATGGCGCCTCTGTCACGGGACATGGGAGCCATGAATATTGGTAAGTAACGAAGAAACTTCTGCTAGGCTACCTAGCTAGTTTCCTAGGCTACCTAGCTATTTTACGTGTGTGCAAGTCTCATAGCTATTCTTGCATCTGGGGGCTGAAACTGTACAGGAAGCTCTTAGTTATTTATGAAGAGTACAGTCGTGAGAGGAGTACATCCTTTAAGTTGCGTGTATCTTTGAGTGGTAAGTAAATTCCAGACAACAAAAATGTTCTAGGTTTTACAAACTTGATGGAAAGACTCAAGGAAAACCCCATATATATTGAATCAGCTTCCCAACTGTATGAAGAGGATTGTAATACACAAGAACTCGAAAAACCGTATATGGCCAGCAGGAAACAACTCAAAGACTTGATTTCCTTTATGTATTTGGAAGGTAAGTGAGCACGGCAGTAGAAACACCGCCTCCCGGTAATGACTTTCATCAAAAACGCCACAACTAACGAACCCATTTCAGTAACGCTGAATATAGGTGTAACGGGGAAGGTGCCCTTAGATAATGCACCTAAAAGTCTCCCATGTTTGTCTACTGCGAAGGCTGAGAGAGGATGGGAAGGGAAATTACGAGAAATAAGCACTTAGTATGATTTCTATAACCCATGGAAGGGGATATGAGGATAAGACAGGCGCTGGGATATGAGCACTAGAGGTAAGGAACGGTACCAAACCTCTTGCACCATTGGGGATCGAACGTCGACCCTGCAAGGTGCCAAGCCATCGCTCTATAGAGACTCGATAAGGATCAATTTGTAAAAGCTTTTCATTTCATTAATTTTGTATTTTTCGATAAATCACTTATATGCTTTATTTCGTTTTGTAAGTCAGCTTTCTGTGAATGTTTCAGTAACTGTGAGAAGATATAATGTAACTTGATATGCACATTGATATCACAAGTACATGATATATCCACGATAAAATAATGGTTATACAATGGAATTGAACCTGCGTCTCTGGATTCCATTGTATAGCTCCAATATTGTCACTTGCTTACCTTTCAGTTGGCGGGGCTCATAGCAGCGAAATTGGCGAAACTACTGGTCCATTTGGCGGAGATGCCGAACCAACTGGCGCATTTAGAGAAATGGACAACAGAGACACATACAGTGAACATTGTCGCACATTTGGCGAAGCTGCTGGGGATTATGGTTCTGGCGTTGTCGGTGGCGATTCCTGTGCCGGTACAGTTGGCGAACATGGCGGAATAGGCGGCGGACTTGCCGGTGGAGATCCTGAGGGCGTGGAAGACGGCCGAGAAGAGGACGTAGAGCGGTATTCGTGGGCGTTGGACTCCCTAACGACGGACTCCAGGGGCAGAAGTGCGTCACTTTTGATTACGACTGGTATCACCTTGCTTAAACAACGGCACCTTAGCTAAAGCCACTATCTTCTTCCTGTAGCAACCTTTCCATGAGGGAACAACCACCCCCTGGCTGTACAACATCCTTCCCCATGAGGAAAAACATTTTTTTTGTTTTTGTATATTTTAAGAAATGTGAATTGTTGTGATGGCGAGCTAAGAATTGTGCACTCCAAGGGTTAAAAGCCCAGTAGTTGCTGAATACTCACACTTAAGTTCACAAGCCTTGCATCGCTAGTTCCCTCCTTCCCCCATTCACGTTTAGACATCCTAAACTAGCCCCTTTTTTAAAAAACCACTTCTATATCATTTATGCTTTTACAATTCCATCTTTAATGAAACTAATGTAGCTTATTTAATCCAATCATTAGTTCAGAGTTAAACAAATTCAACTGAACCCTGCCATTAGTTATTATAAATTAAGCTTATGCAACCATTCTGTAAGATAAAGACACTTAAGAACAGAATAAAATTGCAGCATGTCTGTTTTTCCTCTAGTGTGTCTGCAACCACTTTAACTGAACGTAACGATGTCGGTCTCTGCATGCAAGTCGGCGTTCGATTTCCCATGGTCCTAATGGTTGGACACCATTCCTTCCCTCCGTCCTATCCCAGATCCTTGTCGTTATATCCCTCCCAAGTGCTGTATAGCCGTACTGGTTCAGTGCTTTCTCCTGATAATTACCTAACTCATAGCTAAAAACCTTATTTAAATTAGCTAACTCGGATGATATAACAGATAATTCCTATCATCACCATCCCTAGCTTTTCAGATTTGTCAGGAAGGAGAAAACAACAGAAACCTTTGTCAGAAGCTAACATCTCGCCCATATCCCCCACAGTGAGGGGACCCATAGTGTGGGAGTTCCTGGTGCGTCTGCTTGAGAACCCAGACTCTAACCCGAGTCTTGTCATGTGGGAGAACCAGCACCTGGCAACCTTTCGTCTGGTCAAGCCTCAGCTCATCGCCAGAATATGGGGCACTAGGCTAGGAAATCCTGATCTGACTTACAACGATTTTGCCCGAACTCTCAGGTGTGTGTGTGCGTGTGCTAGTAGGAACATGCTCGGTTCCTATCAGTTCCCACAGTTTTCTTATAAATATACATAAAATTGTGTTGTGTTAGTTTCAACGACTTTCGTTTAACTTATTACACTTATTGACGGTTCTAACACTGAAGAAGTTCTTTCTCTCATCTCTGAGACACATTTGATTCTTTAGTTTCCGTCTATGACCCCTTGTTACGTTGTTAATAGCTTTGAATAATGGTTCTTCCTCTACTTTAATTCCACTTAGAATCTTATATGTCGTTATCATGCCCCACCTATCACTCAACTCCTCTTCATGTAACGAGATAGTTCCCTCCGTCTTTCCTCGTAGTTCAAGCCCCTCAGCTCAGAAATGGGCCTTGAAATATTTTCGGAAATTTTCTAGTTTTGATGTGGTTTTTTTCCAGCTGAGGGTTGCAAGTTGAGGCTGCAGAGACGTTGGCCAGTTTAGTACATAACGCTGTCATTTTACTGCTGTGCATATCTGGCGTTAGATTTAAAGACACGTAGACTCTTAGATTGTTTTCTTTCCTGATGCAAGAATCTGACTGGCTATCATTGAATGCTGTTTAAAAATTCCAAGATCAATTTGCAGGTTATGTGTCTTCCCTCTGTTCTGATTCTTCTCGTTTGTTTTACATTGACTGCAGAACATTATGGGCCCCAACACCGCCCCTTGTGGTACTCCACTCATACCCCTCTCTTCACTTTCACTGTAACCCTTTGTTTTCTTCCCGAGAGGTACTCTCTTACCCACTTAACGAATGTTGACCAGACCACACACTAGAAGGTGAAGGGACGACGACGTTTCGGTCCGTCCAGGACTATTCTCAAGTCGATTATTGAGAATGGTCCAGGACGGACCGAAACGTCGTCGTCCCTTCACCTTCTAGTGTGTGGTCTGGTCAACATACTTTAGCCACGTTATTGTGACTCATCGCCTCCACCTAACGAATCTTTCCGATACACCGCCTTCTTCTTTAGTTTGAGTTCGAGTCTTATACCAGACAGAATCAAATGCTTTTCAACAGTAAAGGAATATGCAGTCTGTCCAGCCCTTCCTCTCTTTCTTGTTTGATTTATGCGTGTTTTACTGCTGTGTGAATCTACATATAAACTGAAATAGAGGAAAAAGGCAGGCAGGCAGAATTATTTAAATAAATCATTTAGAACATAATATTAATAACAATATATTAATAACAAAATATTAATAATCACGAAACTAATAAAATAATGACAATACTGACAATGATAATAATAATAATTTGCAATCTTGCTATGAATAATTTCAGTCAATATGATTGTGTTCAATGTTTCAGACACCATTATAAGACCAGAATCATTCTCTCCAGTCCGGACCGACAGCTGGTTTATGGTCTAGGACCGAAGGCTCTCCAGTACTTTCAACAACTAAGAAAAAGGCAATGATAAAATCAGGTGAAACACAGAGAAAAATAAGTACAAAACAACAAAATTATTTATTTTTCAACGTAAAGACTAGTTTTTCTTACCTAACGCATTGTATCTTAAATTGTGGGTGACATTTTTGACTGTGGGTGACAACTTGTGGCAATATACACAGTGTAATGCACAGCGACATTGTTCTTCGTTGCAACAAAAGTGTCAACAAAGATAATAATGTCACGTTTTTACAACATTGCACCGCCATAATAATATTATGTTGTTACAACGTTGCAACAACATAATGTCATGTAATTACAACACTGGAACAACAGAATATCATGATATTACAACATTTCAACAACATGATAATGACATGATATTACAATATTGTAACAACATAAAAATAATGTTATGTTACAAATTTCAACAGCAATAATGTCACGATATTATAGCATTGCAAAATATAATGTCACGTTACAATATTGCAGTAACAAATAATTTCATATTACATAATAATGCCGTATTATATAATAATAATGTCATATTACAACAACATAATCTCCTCATGTTATGATATCATTGCAATATAACAGTATGTTATTCCTACGCAGCAAGAACATATGGTGACGTCATGTAATTACAACTTAAATAATGGCATGATGATGCTTCAACAACAACATAATATCGTCCTCTTGTTACAACATAATAACATAATAGTCACAGGACGAACGTATACTCTCAAGGAATATGTTGTACTAATATGCCAAGCTGCCTAACAAGCCGAGTTTTCCTGAAATTGTGTATTTTTCTAATTTTGTTTTCTTATGGAGGGAAAAAAGCTTTTCATTATATATGTTTTCTTTTTAATTTGTGTTAAACTAACAGCAATTTTATCAAACTTATGTCAATAATTCATGTTCCTAATAAATAAACCAATTGGAAAATAAATATTTTAAAATAACATTCACTCTGCCTATTAGGCAAATCAGGTCTTGCATACTAGGCCAAATAGTGAGTTCTGGCTATTAGTTACAACAAATATACACTGAGAAGCACAGTACACCTCAAACAGTATATAAACCCATGCTACTTGTGTTACACTTTAATTTTAAACCATTTTCACATACTCTTAAGAATATTTGTACACATTACGTAGGAATATTCACAACATAGGTTTTGTTACAAAAGCCTTTACTTCAATATATTACATTTTATAAATGCTAATTACTACAATGTCATGAGGTGGTCCCTGTCCTTGATATTCACAGCAAGAACATGTTCTTTGGCAGACTTGTTGTAGTCAGAGATGAACACTAATGCACACTATCACCACCGAGATCTCAGTCATCAAGTATATACATAGAATTTACATTGTACAACAACCGGTAATGAGAAGAGGAACTGTGTGCAATAGTGGCGCTTTGCTCATTCCCCTTCGACACTCCGGTTACTTCAACAATCCCGCCTAAAGATGGATCGAAGAGGAACAATCAAGTATCTGCTTTTAAGAAACAATAATTCCTGCTTACTGGGACAGGAAGCCAGTACTTAGGCTAATTGAGCCGCCTCCCACCCTCTCATAGGCCAGCTACTGATGACCCTCCCCAGGATGCAACCCCACGACAGTTGCCTAATTCCCGGGTACCTATTTTACTGCTAGGTGAACAGAGGCATTTGGTAAAGAGGAAACATGCCCTTCTTTCCTGCCCGGGGATTCCTCGGTTGTGTGCCGAGGATGTAGACTACTCTGCCATAGAGCCTAAATAGTTTCAACCAGTCCTTCTCGCCATAATAAAAAATATTTTTTTTATAAATTTGTTCCTTGTGTGCATAGGTTTATGATTCCAGGATTATGATGGGAAAAAATTGCTGCTCTGGGAATAGATCACGTAATGAGACATATGGACATACTCAGCAAGACGTTGATCATTCTCAGGTAGAAAATCTTGCATTGCTGCAGTCTACATTTATTCAGTGCTTCTAGGAACCATAGAGTCCCTTAGCCTACTCAACTTAGACTGCTTCTCAGTGATAGCAAAAGAAAGAGCTTCCTGAACATCCTCTTTCATCAACATAACCAATAGCCTATCAACATGCCTATGCATTTTGCTGTTATTTCTGTCACTTTTTTTATCATTGCTAAAGTCCTCCCTGAAACCGCTAGGGGATCTGATCTCAGCATGCAGCATGTCCAGGATGATCAACACCCATAATGCCGCACACGAATCCAATATGGCACTTCAGTACCCCCCACGACTGCCACCACTACTACTGCACCACCACCTTTAGCATGACTGGTTCTTCAACTTGGCAAGAAATTTCAGAGCTTCGTGGCCACAACCGTACACAAGCTGACGCTCCGACACCTTCGTCAAGTACTTGGTCGAGTAATGGTACCTGAGGAACGCAAGAAACGTAAGTAGAGGTACCTAAGAAGGCATAAACATAAGTAGAGGTACCTTAGAAGGCATAAACATAAGTAGAGGTATCTTAGAAGGCATAAACATAAGTAGAGGTACCTTAGAAGGCATAAACATAAGTAGAGGTACCTTAGAAGGCATAAACATAAGTAGAGGTACCTTAGAAGGCATAAACATAAGTAGAGGTACCTTAGAAGGCATAAATATGAGTAGATGGTACCTTAGAAGCCAGAAAATATTCACAATGCAAGCTGAGTTGGTAGCAATACTGGTAGCACTCGAAATTATTGACAACACTGAAGTAGACAGCTTAATTATTTCCGACTTCCTTTCCTCACTACTAGCAATAAATAGTTTGCCATCAAGCAATAACGTGCGTGTCTCAGAAGCCAGACATAGATATATAAGCATACTTAACAAGAGGGTAAATATAAAAATGTTGTGGATTCCTTCTCACATTGGCCTGAAGGAACATGATAAAGTTGACGCCCTTGCTAAGGTTGCAGTAAATAAAGACAGTATTGAACGGAATCTTGAGTTATCAAATAAGTCCCTTAAAAGTGTCATTAGACGAGAACTCCTGGATTAATTTGAAGAACGTAGAACAGTGCAAACTGGAACTAGCAGGTCCACTGTTTATCACAATGAAATGTGTGAAGTAAAACATGTGTATGGGGCAAGTAACAAAGTCAGCAGACTAACAAACGTTATCACAGCTCGAATAAGACTTGGCTACAAGTATCTCTGGCAGTTCGGCTTGTATAGGGATCTAGATGAAGTAAAGTGTAAAGTGTGTGAACAAAGACAGGGACACACACATACACACTCGAACACTATATCTTGGATTGTAGTAAAATTTAGCCATTTAGAGATAAATCTAAGCTCACGCCGTATGATATGGCAACCTATCTTATTACTAAGGATAAAATACCTGAAATGTTTGCACTGTATCCATATTTCGCTTCCAGTAGATAAACGACATATGAGATTAAGAAATAAGTAGTGTATTGTGAAGACTAATAATAAACAGCAGCTCCCCTTTGACTCTGTAATATCTCCATTGCTCAAACAATTATGCATTAGCGATAAAACCTACCATGTATGTATAATGACTTACTGTTAATATACAGCTCTTGAAATAGAACATTCTCTGTAACTAACTGACATTGTAATTATAAGGTGTGAAGGATAGATGAAATTGTTTATGTAATAATCTAAGTTGAGGTCTGATAAAGATTTTTTGTGTCCTCTGTAATGCTTTTTGCGCTACCGCTCACAGAATGAGTATGGGGTGCACAATAAACTAGCTGCCTCCGGCGGCATCAATTCAACGGTGCTTTAGAAGACAAACAAGAAACACAAGTTGAGATACCATTGAAGGAAGAAACGTGAGAAAAGGTACCTGAGAAGCCAGGAACAATGATGGAATGTACCTAAAAATCACAGAATCTGTGAAAAGACTCGCCTTCAGTCTTGGCCGATTCTGGTCAGTACACTAAAGCCTTCAAACACTAAAGAGATGTTGGCGGTGTTATGTACAAGGCCACCGTTCTTAAGGTTCCACACATGACCCAACTTTGTGAACAACCAGAAGATGGCAACCACATCACAAGGTGCTCAACCATCAATAGCCACATGCAGGCTGTGCCATTCTCAAGAATGTCACTATCAGTGATCATTCATTCCTTGGCTGAATGAAATACCTGGCATTTAGAACATGCTCACTCAACACGTAGCTGAACTCCAGTCAGTTGACAATATCAAGGCTCTGGCATACAGTTGGCTCCAGCTTCACCCAGTACCCAACATTAACTTGGCAATAAATATAGTTTATCCCTGATGGGAACTAATAATATCTTGGGTCAGGCTTCAAATGAGCTGACGGCTCTTAGCTTGCAGTTTCATTAGGGACAACATTACCATTCTTAATGAACCCCTAGTTTTTGTAAAAAATAAAGAATAAAAATTATTACGACAAAATTTTGAATTATCTTGACGTTAAAAGACTTGAGATTAAGATGTGAGGCTATCAATCGAATGAAAAGTAATACTAAGAAGGAAAACGTGCATAAAACTTAAGAATATTAAAAGAGTGTAATGAAAAGATGATGTTTGACCTAGAGTACACAGACGAAGATGAAGTACTTTACGCTAAAAAAAACAGAAGTACACTGAAAATGAGATAACTGACCTGAGGGCCCGAGCGAAGTTATTGTAAGTGAGGTTAGGCTTGCAGGAGCGGGTCCCCCACATGCGGGCGATCTCTTGGGGCTGCACCAGCCTGAAGGTGGCCGCCGCCTCGTCCTCCCACCGAATAACTGACGGGTTGGTCGCCTCATCCGCCAAAAGTCGCATCAGAAACTCCCACGACTTGGGTCCTCGATCTAGAAACATGCAGTGTGTGTGTGATGTAAATATTTGCGGCATGTAGCTGCTCTCCGTCTCTCATTCTCTCTTTGTCTATTGGTCTGATTATTTAATCAATCATAAAGCACACGCAGGCGACGAGTCACAATAACGTGGCTGAAGTATGTTGACCAATCCACACACTAGAAAATGAAGGGACGACGACGTTTTGGTCCGTCCTGGACCATTTTGGAACTGAAACATCGTCGTCCCTTAATTTTCTAGTGTGTGGATTGGTCAACATAAATCACACGTTATTACAATAGGGACTCATTCAACAAATTTCAGTTGAATTCAACAGTACTTAAATTCATTCCCACTGATAACTGCGATCCTGGAATTTGAATTTTTTATTATTTATTATATTATTCCCATAATTATTTAATTAATTTTCTACTATGTAAAAGTTATGATTGTCTACTGCACACACACACACACGAATGAGTTCAACGTCTAACAACCTGGTTGATCAGACCACTGATCTATTCTTGATAGTAAGCCTTGGAGACAATGACTGTTTTAATTATTTTCCTTCAAACCTCTCTCACGATAAATTTGAATTACTGTGGTCCAGTGAAGTGAAAATATTGATAAAGACGGACATTGATCAACGGAATGTCAATTGCAATTCTGCGGCATGTGGTTGAGGCCTTGTTGAAAATTGAATTGAAGTATCAGGGGAAAGCGCCAAGTCATTACGACTATATAGCACTTGGAAGAGGTCAGAATAAACACTTGAGATGGGACGAGGGAGTGAGGTGGGGGGGGGGGGTAATACCCAACTACTTGGACGGTCGGGGATTGAACGCCGACCTGCATGAAGTGAGACCGGCGCTCTACCGTCCAGTCCAAGTGGTTGGGCTGGACGGCCTTGATGAGAGTGAAATATTGTTTTTAAGAGATCACCAATTGCTGTTGGACAGTCACATATCAGATCGGAATTATTGCATTTTGTTAAAAAATTATTAATTTCTTCTTAAACATGAACCCATTTTTGGAGTGCCATAATTATTAGAGGTCTGTGACTTAGTGATTGGCCGACACAATAAAAAAAACAAGAACAAGAAGCATTAATTGAAAATATGAAGTTTGAATATTTTTCAATGAAGGACTCTTAACCCACGGTATTCAGAGGAGCCTCGTCACAATTATGATAAGTAAACCAGTTATATACTTCAAGATATTAACGGAAAGCAAATATAAAAAAAAACACCTTTTCAACGGTATATTTACCGTTTACAAGTATTCTATAAATTATGAAACATTGTATAAAGGAAAAAGTATTATTTTAAGCCTGGCATAGGTGCAGTTACAGTACTGATGCAGTGTCGCCTACAAATTCCAATACACACCTCGTTTTCTTTTTGTTGAGATTTTCTTGAGCGAGTCATGGGTACCTTGGCTATCCTGATCCATAGCCTCTTGTGCATCAGTCTCTGAAATGTAAAATGACCGTTAAAAACCGTACTACAGAGCACAGGGATATGCAATGTATACTGAGATGTGGGCCCCGTGCTTCTCAGTGTATCTACACACAGAGTTTACTTTACTTTTGGACTAATGTTTAGAACTAAAGTATATTTACAGGTTGGTCAGTGAACTGTTGTCCTTAATAATCCTCCCGCAGTTGATAGGCCTTAACCCCCAACACCAAACCAAATGATATATTGTGGTTAGGTGATTACTTGCTTCATGACAAACTCCTCTAGATAATTACATTCTTAGCAGGTCATTTAACAGGTAATTAATATACACAGGGAATACTAAATTGAAATTATTCAAAAGGTATTCGACTGGTCTAACTCCTGGTCACAGCAGTATTACAATATCATACCACCAGACCGTCCAAACACCCTCTAACAACGTAACCGAACTAAAGAGAGCACTCAGCTAAAAGTAGTTACAGGGGAAATGGGTTACAGCTGCTGAAGGATAGTGCTAAAAATACAGTCTTAGGGAAGTTCCCAGCGATAGTGATATAGGTTCAAAATCTCAATCTTAATTATACAGTATATAATTCAAATAATTACACATGCTCGTATTATGGGTTTTTAGGTAAGTAACGTATTGGGATTATGTGTAAACTAACTCAATTATAAAGGTACAAACATATATTAATGGCGTTTTTTAATTGAATTCAATATTGACTCACTTGCGGTCAGTCGCAGGTCCAGTGCTTCTTCCTCCTCCAAGTCGATCACCAGAGGTCTGTCTTCTCTAGAGTGGATGTAACCGTAGTAGCCTTGATGGGAGCGGCTGTAGGGGTCCTTGGGTGCAGGGCAGCGAGGGTCCTTAGGCTCATGACCATACAGGTCCTGGTGGGAGTGATGGGGCATCCTATGCCAGTGCTCATCAGGATGTTTGTAGGTGTGATACTGACTGAGGTGCTCCTGTGTGTCAAACCACGAACTCGGGACGAAGCGGATTTGGCATGGCTGGTTTCTGGAGGGTGGTTGCTGAGCTGGGGCAGTGTGGGGCTGATAAGCCATGGGCGAGAGGGTCACGTATGACATTGGTGAGGGAGTTTCATAGGAAGCAGGTGAGAGATTCTCACAGGATCTTGGTGAAAGGTTTTCGTAGGACCTTGGTGAAGACATGCTTGGTGATCCAGTGGATAGATGGTCCTGATATGGTGACGGAGAGGACATATGGTCCTCATATGGTGACCTGGAAGATATCTGGTCTTGATGAGGTGATCTGGAAGACATTCTTCTGGGGTTTGGTGACAAAGACCGCATTGTACCTTGATGCGATGATCTAGTTGACAACCGGTCTTGTTGTGGTGACCTTGTCAACATCTGGTCTTGGTGTGGTGATCCAGTACATAACCGAGCTTGCTGAGGTGATTTTGTCAACACATATTCTTGTTGCTGGGATAGAGAGAACATATGATCTTCACACTGTGACCTGCAGAACGTCTCATCTTGATGCGACACGAAGGAGTCTCTATCATGTTCTGGTGGCAATGAGGACATCCAGAGTTGGTACCGTCGTAGGTGGTGTGGTGAAAGACGGGTCACTTGAACTTGCTGCAACGCTGCGGACAATGGTCGGTTTTGGTGCGGAGACAGGTAGGCCTGTGATTGGTATAGTGAAGTCGAGGAGACATTGTCTTGGTGCGCTGACGAACATGGGACACTGGGTTGATGAGGCGATCCAGAGGGGACACTGGGTTGATGAGGCGACCCAGTGAGGACACTGGGTTGATGAGAAGACCCAGACGGGAGATCTGGTTGACGTGGTAACACAGAGGACAATTGGTCTTGGGAGACGGCAGATAGGAGCTTGTGTTTCCTCACTGGCCATTTTCCCTGGTTCGTGGAACTCATAACATTCAATCTCTCACAGAGGTGACAGTCTTCTCACTGGAACACACAAATAAAAACATGAGGGAACGAATAATGATGGACCCCACCAATTTTTTAAAATTTATAATGCCACTAATAAACTTTTAAATATATTTGGGGTAATACTTAATACAATATCCTCCGCATACAAGACGTCTTAATAACGTAGCTAAGACAAATAACGCAATAGACACACACATGATGTTCAAGTGACGTCGTTTCTGTCCAGCCTGAACGTAAACAATCCTCTGGCAGGCTGCATGATGAAGGGTAAAACGTACCGTACATTCTGTTCTTAATCCTTGAACTTAATCCTTTCAGTTCTGTTAGTTATTTTCTAGCCAGGATGTATTAAGAGACCCAACTCTCTCGGTGCCAGGGCCTCGACCCCCGCCCTCTCAACTAACAGGTCGAGTTTTGTACATTATGAGAACCAACGCTACGAATGCAACCTAATATAACGGCTCACAAATCAACCCGTCCTCTTAAAAATAACGTCACTTTTGGCTGGTATGCGCGCTATGGCCAAATTTGGACGTAATTTGAAATGAAATCGACTCACAAAAGTGACGTACTGTTCCGTTTTCTGTTTGAGTCGTCCGGCTTACTCGGCAAGCTTAAAAAAGGATTCTTTCCATTAACGTTTTTCATACCGTTTTGAAACTGAGAATTTCCTGCCCACCTAACCTATCAGAGGACCCTTAACTTACTGTTGTTGAAAAAAAATATCGGCGTTTTGTATGCACCTGTGTGATAGGTTAAGTGGGTTGCTTGGGCTCCTAGGTTTCGGATTAGGGGTAGGAGGAGGTTGGACGATTTCCGGAGTGGCAAATCAGGAGAATGGGCTAGTCAGTGAGTCTCTAGATCTGAAAGGCCAATCAATCCGTGGTGGCATTTAACCAGTATGTTACAGATGGTCTCAAATCAGCGATTAAAAAACAATCAAATCAAAATACAGTAAGGCTTATTTATTCTCGATAGACCAGATTGGAAAGCTAAATACAGTCGAAAAGTTAGAAGACTACCAATGGTGTGTCCACTCACATGATGAGTGACGCTGCCCAATAAACTCGCCCCTCGGGGCAAAATTTACAAATTAAATTTACCAATAGCAATTCTCAAGAATTAAGAGCAAAATCGAAAGCCATCAGCTGTTACGCTAGAATCTGGCGCAACTCAGCCTAGCATCACCAGACTCCCATTACACGAGGCAATTACAGACGGGGGATTCTAACATCTAAGTGTCGTACTGTACCTGTAAAATTGCAGTAAGTATTGCCTGCTTCAAACATACTTTTACTGCAACGATCATAAAGTTCTTGGGAATTCCAAGCACATCTTTTCCGGGAAGCAATAGCATCACTCCCACTCCCTAACAGGAATATATATGCCCATTTCTTAGTGTATAGACTCGGTTTACTTTGGTTCTGGGGCAATGTTCAGGACTAAAGTATACTTTCTAATTGCTCAATAATCACCTGTTTACAATATTTGTAAAGAATATTAAAAGATTGATGGAGGGGTTGATATAGAAGGTTGATATCTGAATAAAGATATCCATTCTTATATCATTCTGAGGGGAATGACTATTGACTATTCAGCTACCCTTGATAACCCTTAGTTTAAATTGATCCAAAATATTTCAAAATACAAATCACGACAATAATTGAATCAAAGGGTAATGAATCAATGCAATAATGAAGAGTATGACAAGATGTAAATCTACAAAAGCACAATTATACAACTAAACTATACCCACGCTAAGCCATCAACCGCTGATAGACTGACAGTTGGGTTGGCCTTAAGGCCTAGCAGCTACACCAGAATTCTTAGGGCCGTGACACTAGTTTACTGACCAACCCTATGTATTTACGTATGTAGGTTAGCTTAGCATTTTAAAAGCACCGAATCACCTTCTGTGGTTGATTGTTCAATAAACCCTTGAACTATATGTTTAACACATCTCTAACCCTGTCCATGGAGGACAGAAGAAAATGTATATATGCTGGTTAGCATTGTAAATGTGTGGCCATGTCTGTGGTAAAAAAAAAAGCGAGTATACTTTAGACCTGTATATAGCCCAGAACTAATGTAAACTTGCTGTGTATGCAATACACTGAAAACTGAGATATATCTTTCACAGAGTTTACAGTATATCTATCATCAGAATGCGGTAGTATTGGGCATAAGGCCTAACAGTTTTCTAAAGGGTTATTAATACCACACAAGAGCTTACTGACCATCCAGCAACAATACTTTAACTCTGATCACTATTCATGACTAAAGTAAACTAAGAAGTTTGTATACTCGGAGAGACAGTTTACTTTTCATTTAATATATCCTTAAATGTAAAGATAAACATTCCAGTATCTATTCACGTCATTTATAAGAAAATTAATCATACTGGGTAGTTACATAAAATAAAAATAGTAAAAAAATCTAAACAAATATAACTGTTAACTCTAAATAGTACACAATAATAATAATAATAGATAAATCCACATTTATAAGAGAAAATTAACATATACAAACAACAGCCACCAGGGAAACTTAACAAAATTGGATTAAATCTTAACACTGTGAAGTTACACAGAAACGCCTTTCTCATGTAATTCGAAATAATAATAATACGTTCTGTTTTACTAATTTAATAATACAGAACGAAGCTCTGTAAATGTATCATGCCTATTAATCTATTATCAAATGAAGCACTGCAATCTATAACTGTAAGAGGGAACGACTTTTCCTTATATATATAAATAAGAGGGAATGACTTATATCTGTAAGAGGGAATGACTCTTCCTTATATCTGTACGAGGGAACGACTTTTCCTTATATATATATATATATATATATATATATATATATATATAAGAAGGAATGACTTCCTTATATCTGTAAGAGGGAACGACTCTTCCCTATATCTGTAAAAGGGAATGACTCTTCCTTATATATACATATATAAGAGGGCATGACTTTTCTTTAAATCTGTAAGAGGGAACGACTCTTTCTTATATCTCTAAGAATGCCTGTCTAAGGTATAAGGTCACACGAATGTAGCTGACCTCACCGGAATTTGCAGTTTAAAATATATATATTGAACTCAAACTCAACCCCCCTTCTTTCCCTTGCGAATTTCCTGAAACTTTCAAATGAAGTCGGGTATGTGTTTTCCGTAGAGTGTTCAAGTTACTCTTTCCCTAAAGTACCAGTGCAGGCTACTAAACATATGGCCCTGTATGACTAACCATCCTGCGAGATGGGGACTTTTAGTAATCACTGCTGCCTTATTCACTCTCGTGTTAATGATGATATTCTCACAATGCACCCAGAGTCTGTCAGTGCAGACTACTTATCACATGCCTCCTGTATGACTAACCATCCTGTGTGATGGGGATTTTTGCATCACGTAGCTAGCTTTTTAACACACTGTACTCCCTCTTCATATAGTCTAGGGCAGCTGCACAAATGCACATGTACCTAAATATGTTAATAAAAAATATATATTACCAGCATTAATAAAAAAAAATATATATTATCAGTATTAATAAAAAAAAATACAAGCGCATTTTCATGATTTACTTGAAAACGATGAATTGAATTCATTCAGGTTACAGTGATACCATCAGGTCAGTAAGTAGGAAATATAGATACATGATAATAAAGATAGTGTGAAGTGAAAATGGTTATGGTGAAGATAGTATATAGTGAAAATAATATTTTTATACCTATATCCACCCAATCTATGATTGAGATTGGGTGGATATAAATAGGAGCTGCCTCGTATGGGCCAATAGGCCTTCTGCACTTACCCTCATTCTTATGTTCTTGTGTCTTATGTTCTTGTGTCCTAATATGTAGTGAAGAAGTAAGATGAGGGAAGTCGGGCAGAGGATGAGGGGATATTGCGGGGAATAAGGGAATGATGAGGGGAGATGAAACGGGGGGAGAGGGGGAGGGAGGGAGGGCAGGGAGGGGGGGGGGGAGAGAGAGAGGGGGAGAGAGAGAGAGAGAGAGAGAGAGAGAGAGAGAGAGAGAGAGAGAGAGAGAGAGAGAGAGAGAGAGAGAGAGAGAGAGAGAGAGAGAGAGAGAGAGAGTAAGAGAGAAAGAGAGAGAAAGAAAGAGAGAAAGAGAGAGAGTAAGAGAGAGAGAAAGAGAGAAAGAGAGAGAGAGTAAGAGAGAGAGTGTGTGTGTGTGTGTGTGTGTGTGTGTGTGTGTGTGTGTGTGTGTGTGTGTGTGTGTGTGTGTGTGTGTGTGTGTGTGCGCGCGTGTGTGTGTGTGTGTGTGTGTGTGCGCGCGCGTGTATGTATGTATGTATGTGTGTATGTATGTATGTGTGTGTGTGTGTGTGTGTGTGTGTGTGTGTGTGTGTGTGTGTGTGTGTGTGTGTGTGTGTGTGAGTGCATGTACTTCCACAGAAGGCTCGCTACAGCACACGGAGAGAGAGAGGGACAAGGATCCAATGTAGGAAAATTTGTGCCTTTTTAAACCTCTGTTGACCAAATCTTAGCGATCCACATGGCGGACTCTCCTTAAGGATACACGCCTAGTGACCAATATACCTTGATCTAGAGCAGATTTACGGATCAAAACAGCGATATAGTCACTGAAAAAACAAACTGCAGATGTTTGTGTGCAAATAATCTACAACTGGGTCGTCCTCATTAGGCTTTTCACCGTTAACTACTAATGTTACTCTCGAGGACTCTTGAGTACACATTCTGATATTACCACTTCTAAAATTGTACTACTACTGATACTATCAACACTGCTACTACAAAACCACTACAATTTATCAACACCACACCACCAATAGCCTCTTAAAGCACTACTAACACTGACTATTGCTACTGTGGAAGTTCTGTTGATTTAATACTACTACTTTTACTAATAATAATAAACTAGGGCATCCAAGGTTGACAAGTAACGCTATATTGAAGGTTTTAACCCCAAAGACAATTAAACAATTCAGGCGGTGATATATTCACTAACTAGCCTAATCGGTAAGCGCGGACTAACCTTTTTCTGCTTGCAGGAGGTGTAACACAGGAGAGATGGAAGGAATCACGCTATCACTCACTACACCATGAGGCAGACTGATCTCCCTCCACCACTAGCACACACACACACTCACTCACACACGCACACACACACACACGCGCGCACACAAATACTTACGCCTACACAAAAACGAAGTGACCAGAATTTTCCCAGAGAAGGATGTTAGCCCATCTGTCGCGGTAACCCCTCACCCGCTACCCCACTTAATACACCCTCACCACCCACTTACACCCTCACTACCCACTTACACCTTCTACACCCACTTACACCTTCTACACCCACTTACACCTTCTACACCCACTTACACCTTCTCTACCCACTTACACCTTCTTCGCCCATTCACACCTCCACCCACTCACACCTGCACACACTCACACCTTCACACACTCTCACCTTCTCCACTCACACCTTTCCCACCCACTCACATCTTGACTTACTTACACCCTCACCACACACTCACACCCTCACCACCCACCCACCCTCACATACCCTCTCCATTGGCATTCCGGAATCGATTTCCGGCCGTAGCAGAAACAAATTAGAAAAATTAGATCGGAAATGAGAACAGTGGACAACCGACGGTTAAAAAGTCGGGGACCAAGAGCTAGCAGCTCGACCCTGCAGACACAAATAGTAAATACCCTCACCAACTACACACCCTCTCGACCTGTGGGTGTCTAACAGGGCTGTACTCCCCTAATTGTTCTTCCGGGAGTTGAGCTCTGGCTCTTTGGTCCCGCCTCTCATGTCAATCAACTGGTATACAGATTCCTGAGCCTATTGGGCGCTATCATATCTACATTTGAAACTGTGTATGGAGTCAGCCTCCACCACATCACTGCCTAATACATTCCATTTATTAAGTACTCTGACACTGAAAAAAGTTATTTCTAATGTTTCTTTGGATTATTTGGGTACTCAGGTTTTACCTGTGCCCCCTAGTGCGAGTACCACCTGTGTTAAATAATCTATAAATTGTCATCCATACTTCCGTGAAAATAAACAATCCACTGACTTGGGCTGTATGGGTCTCGACCAATACGGCCCATGTAAATAATCTGTCTTTATTTACCCTTGTCAATTCCCCTGAGAATTTTGAATGTGGTAATCATGTCTCACCTAACTCTTGTGTCTCCCAGCGACGTGAGGTGCAGTTTACGCAGCCTTTCCTCTTAACTCATGCCTCTTTGTTCTGGAAGTAGCCTAGTGGATGTCTAGCTGGGGCTGTGTGTGTCTAGCTGGGACTGTGTGTGTCTAGCTGGGGCTGTGTGTGTCTAGCTGGGGCTGTGTGTGTCTAGCTGGGGCTGTGTGTGTCTAGCTGGGGCTGTGTGTGTCTAGCTGGGGCTGTGTGTGTCTAGCTGGGGCTGTGTGTGTCTAGCTGGGGCTGTGTGTGTCTAGCTGGGGCTGTGTGTGTCTAGCTGGGGCTGTGTGTGTCTAGCTGGGGGCTGTGTGTGTCTAGCTGGGGCTGTGTGTGTCTAGCTGGGGCTGTGTGTGTCTAGCTGGGGCTGTGTGTGTCTAGCTGGGGCTGTGTGTGTCTAGCTTGGGCTGTGTGTCTAGCTGGGGCTGTGTGTGTCTAGATGGGGCTGTGTCTAGCTGGGGCTGTGTGTGTCTAGCTGGGGCTGTGTGTGTCTAGCTGGGGCTGTGTGTGTCTAGCTGGGGCTGTGTGTGTCTAGCTGGGGCTGTGTGTGTCTAGCTGGGGCTGTGTGTGTCTAGCTGGGGCTGTGTGTGTCTAGCTGGGGCTGTGTGTGTCTAGCTGGGGCTGTGTGAGTCTAGCTGGGGCTGTGTGAGTCTAGCTGGGGCTGTGTGAGTCTAGCTGGGGCTGTGGGTGTCTAGCTGGGGCTGTGGGTGTCTAGCTGGGGCTGTGGGTGTCTAGCTGGGGCTGTGGGTGTCTAGCTGGGGCTGTGTATGTCTAGCTGGGGCTGTGTGAGTCTAGCTGGGGCTGTGTGAGTCTAGCTGGGGCTGTGTGAGTCTAGCTGGGGCTGTGTGAGTCTAGCTGGGTCTGTGTGTGTCTAGCTGGGGCTGTGTGTGTCTAGCTGGGGCTGTGTGTGTCTAGCTGGGGCTGTGTGTGTCTAGCTGGGGCTGTGTGAGTCTAGCTGGGGCTGTGTGAGTCTAGCTGGGGCTGTGTGAGTCTAGCTGGGGCTGTGTGTGTCTAGCTGGGGCTGTGGGTGTCTAGCTGGGGCTGTGTATGTCTAGCTGGGGCTGCGTGTGTCTAGCTGGGGCTGTGTGTTTCTAGCTGGGGCTGTGCATGCGTCACAAGGGCCCCCATCCAACCTTGATCAACTCTGGCTACCTCTATAAATTCAGGTCATTTGTGTTTTTGCTTTTTATAAGTATATCTTAAATGTACAAATGAAGAGTCCTAAGCCCGTGTACTCTGGGAACATAATCACCGCAGGAAGAATGTATTGGTGCTCCTCCCTTCAAGGTGGCGACGATGCGCCATAGCACCTGTAAAGGAGGAACCAGTTTCTCAAGAGTTTGTCTTCCGCCCAGCCATTGTCCTTGGAGCCATATTTCTACCATTTTCATACCATACGGGCGTGGAAACATTGATATCAATAACAAATAAAGCAGTATCAGTGTCACTATTTGGCTGGGGCTTAAAAATTATTCTGATAATGGTCAAGAAGTCTCTTTATTTGCCATAAAGAGATGGTCAGCAGGTCAAGGTTAAACCACCACCACTGCTGCTGCTGCTGGCTATGGTGCTACTTCCTTTCCTAACTTTGTACTGCGATTTATGCCTCCTCGTGCAACTTATTTCGTCAATCAAGTTCATTCCTTGATTAAATACACGTACCTCAGGTTACCAGTATGAAGGCTAAAGCTGTGTTTCCCTTGCTGGTCATGTGGGAAGCTTGATGTGTATATATGTGTGTGTGTGTGTTAGGGGGACATATCATAACACCCAGGGAGGTAAACAATATCACGTGGCCCCCACTCACTATAACTAGTTCACTCACGTTCCATTTTCATTCACAAATTTCACAACATGTAATCTTTTTTACTCTCGGTCGGAAATCCGTTCATTCCGAGGCCCCAGACGGACGCTTCGCAGGAACTTGGCGATAGAAAATGACTTGAGGACACCACTTGTAGCGGCGGAAAAGTCAACAAATGGCTCACCTGGCTATGGGAGTTAACGTTTGTAGGTGGTGGTGGTAGGTGGTGCTGGTCGGTGGTGGTGGTGGTAGGTGGGTGGTGGTGGTGGTGGTGGCGTACGAGCGATGATGCACGAACTCCACTCCAGCCACCTGTATAGCTGGCTCCCATCACCACTTTCTCTTTCACTGTACAACCCCACACGGCGCTGGTAATGGGCCATCAAGCCGCGCGATAATCTGCCAATCATGACCGTCGATCACGGGGCTGGCCCCATGACCACTCATCGCCGGCACCAGCGCAGACAGGAGCTATTTCCAGTCAGTTTTGTGGAGTAGATTTCCCCGTAGCGCGTAAGGCTCTCGGCAGACATGGCAACTGACGGCAACATTTTCTGTGTATCATAGAAAACTGTCCAGAGGGAAGGGGAGACTATTGGAATATAATCTGTACATTACAACGGGAGAAGCTATTGGAATATAATCTATACATTACAACGGGAGAAACTATTGAAATATAATCTGTACATTACAACGGGAGAATCTATTGAAATATAATCTGTACATGCAGGCGATGAGTCACAATAACGTGGCTGAAGTATGTTGACCAGACCACACACTAGAAATTGAAGGGACGACGACGTTTCGGTCCGTCCATCGACTTGAGAATGGTCCAGGACGGACCGAAACGTCGTCGTCCCTTCAATTTCTAGTGTGTGGTCTGGTTAACATAATCTGTACATTACAACGGGAGAAACTATAACAAATTCTGTACATTACAACGGGAATTTTTATTTTAAACTGGCTTTATATTCACAATTTTATTTCAATAGTTAAGCAAAACAAAATATCATGCTATTAAACTTACGTATTTTTATTATTATAATAAAAATGGGTCTAAGAATATTATCATGACAAAAAACTCCACATAAATCACACGCCAAATTTCACACTTGATTCCATGAAAATGGCCCAGGGGGGTGGTTTATAATTGTTAATATTTCTTAAATCATTTAACTTAGGCTTACTCCGACCAGCATATGTTGCTCCCATATCTCAGACCATTTTCCCTGCAAATTTTGATGAAACTAACCCAACCATCTGATCTCCAACGTCGGACAAATAGACAAGCAGACACTCTCTCTTATAGTATAGATGTGCAAGAATAATTACGAAGCGGGTGATTCAGTTATGCTTAAGTATCAACAAAAGAAAATTAATCCGAGAACTTTCCTGATTCAACACATCTTCAAGGAAATGTGATGAATGACGAAAGTTTCGGATTGATTTTGTTACATTTTTCCTGTATGGCTACTTATGAATATATATATATATATATATATATATATATATATATATATATATATATATATATATATATAAAAACTTATATTCAGTTGCATAAATATATTCAGTTGCATATTGTCCTGGGGACCATTCAGGCTTGTTCGCATATATATATATATATATATATATATATATATATATATATATATATATATATATATATATATATATATATATATATATATATATTTGGTAGCAGTTTTTCTGCTAGATATATTATTGAATATGACAGAAAGGATAAGATCAATGATTCTAGCACGAATGTTCTCTATTTTTTTTAATGTTTTTCTTTACTTGAGAAGGAAGTTGAAAAATTATCTCTCCAAAGGTCATTTTACAATTTCATTAAGGCTATTTCATTTTAAGAAAGAGTGCGAATGGTTACAAGTTGATTGATTGATTGACGAAGATTAAGCCACCCCAAGCGGTGGCACGGGCATGAATAGCCCGTAAGGTTACAAGTTTTTGTGCTGCCAGAAACATAGCCCAGGATGAGGTGACGGTAAAGCAACTCACTTATGGGGGCCAAAAGGCCCATTGCAGCTTACCAATCTATGTTTCCATGATGGCTGAGGCAGTATATTGTGTTTCGTCATGTCCCGGGGTAGTACAGTCGGGTTCATTTTCGACTCACAATCGAAAATTATGGGTTCGAATCCCGGGCGGGACAGAAAGTTTCTATCACCTAATACCCTGTTTCCCTAGCAGTTAATGGGTACCCCACGAGGTAGTCAGCTTGTTATGGTGGGGTTGTATCCTTGGGAGGGCGTGTAATTTTACCCCGGGGGGGGGGGGAGTTATCGTTAAAAGACTTAACATGACTCAAATGTTAAATTATTTACCGTTGTAAATAATTATAATATTTACAATAGTATAATTATTTACAACGGTACCCATAAATATACACATTATAAATATTCAGTCGACTTCAAACGTTTCAATTAAATATATAACACACAACAAGATTTAAATAAATTAGCGGATGTGACTCACGGGTGACTGCGGAGTCACCGGTAACTTGTAAGATCCTTGAAAACACTTTTAGATTATTTTTTAAATAATATTTTACCCTACACTATTATATTGTTCGCTAAATTTATGTTTATTTATATCTGCATATATATATTATATATATTTTATTTATATATATTTATATATATATATATATATATATATATATATATATATATATATATATATATATATATATATATATATATATATATATATATGTTCCCCTTTAACACATATATATAACATGCAATTGACGATCACAAAACACTGATCATTTTATGCGGAAAATCCACAGAGAAATATGAAATGAGGTGAACGTTTCAGTCAGTCTGGTGTTGACAAAGGCTTTAACAAAGCCGAAACGTTCACCTCATTTCATATTTCTCTGTGGATTTTCCGCATATATATATATATATATATATATATATATATATATATATATATATATATATATATATATATATATATATATATATATATATAACTCTCCAGACACAAAACAGAACGCTTTAAAAGAGACTAATGTCGTCTATGCCTTCAAATGCCCACTTGGGGACTGTAAGCTCCAAAAAACCCAGTATATAGGCAAGACAACAACATCTCTTTCTAGGCGTTTAACGATGCATAAGCAACAGGGCTCCATTAAGGAACATATAATCTCTTCCCATAACCAAACCATCGCCAGAGAAATCCTAGTAAACAACACAGAAATCATCGATAGGTACAGCGATAGCAGGCGGCTTGACGTTTGCGAGGCACTACACATCAAGAAGTCAACACCAGCAATCAACAGCCAATTATTGCACAACTATATTCTACCCACCTCAAGACTCCGCTCCAATATAGAAGCATCAAGAAATATGGACCAATAGGCTTTCTACAAACACTTCTATTCAATACCCATTGTTTCTGTTCTGTCTTGTGTTGATACTTTTAATACCCTATTAATATCCCCTCTTGTTCTGTCTTGTGTTAATGCCACATCACCCCTCCCACCTCACTCAAATGTAGATATAAAATCAGAGATACGTTCTAATCAGTTGTGTATTTGTGAAGTCTTTGAAAATGTAATAAGTTTTACGAAATGCGCCCGTGTCACGTCAGACTAGAAATAAAAATGAATTTTGGAGAAGTGATTTTTGATTTACCTCCAACAGTGAAGCGTAATGTACGAAAGATTGAGAAAATTCGTGTTAGAATTATTAATCTTACTTTTTCGGTCATATTTAATAATATATGTCTACAGGAAAGACTGCTACCAAAATATACTAATATATATATATATATATATATATATATATATATATATATATATATATATATATATATATATATATATATATATATATATATATATATATATATATATATATATATATATATATATATATATATATATATATATATATATTATGAGCTCAAGTGTATTCATAATGTCAAACAAAAATACATGCATAATCCAACACACGAAGATCAGAGAAACTCCAAATTAGAATAATTGAGTTTCAGATAACACTCACACGTGAGTTACGAGTAAAAGCTGAGTAAAATGCACTTCACGACACTGGAAGACAAAGGAGTAAGGAGAGACATGATCACTACCTATAAAATTCTCAGAGAAATTGACAGGGTAGATAAAGATCAACTGTTTAACACGGGTGGTACGCGAATAAGGGGACACAGGTGGAGAATGAGCCACAGGGACGTTAGAAAGAACTTTTTCAGTGTCAGAGTAGTTAACAGATGGAATGCATTAGGCAGTGATGTGGTGGAGGCTGACTCCATACACAGTTTCAAATGTAGATATGATAGAGCCCAGTAGGCTCAGGAATCTGTACACCAGTTGATTGACGGTTGAGAGGCGGGACCAAAGAGCCAGAGCTCAACCCCCGTAAACACAACTAGGCGAATACATGCACACACACACACGCGTGCGCACATCAGAGGTGTGGCAGGGGGTCAGCCACTAATACGTATAATCCAGGTATTTCCGAGTGTGGAGGAATGCCATTTGCGTCCCGCAAAAAGGAGCATCAGATACTGGAGGTGTCTGGTAACCCAAGCGGGAATACCAGACCTGGTTACTCATTTGTTTCAAAACGTTCTTAGTGGTCATTGCCCGTTACATCACTTATTGACATAGTTGCGATGCGTCATTTTGTTAAGTATAGATTGGCGTATGCTTATTTAGACCCTTCTGTACCTTGTCAAAGGGTTTCAGTCATCCTTAACCCATTCAATCAGACTATTGGTGTTGGCGACCCTCAACCCGTTTAGTTTTTAAATACTTTTAATTATATTAAGATTTACATAGCCGAGGCGTTAAGACTAAAAATCAATATGAAGTAATATTTAGAAAGGAACCATATTAAATAGTATAGGGAACAATATTTAATAAGGAGCCAAGCCCAATAATACGCGATTCTAGCTTTGCAGAATTCACCACAAAATTGTATATCCTGGCAGCCCTAGTATGCAGCCAGACTATCAAAAGCCAGCAAACAATGCAGCAGGAACAGCGCCCCAAAGTGGATAAAGGAGATACATTTTTTGCTAGAAACAGCAACGGTTCCAAAACTACTCGCCTTACAACCGTGGGTGCTCACCATGCATGGGATTTTTTTTCTTAGTTGTCCCTATGTCTGCAGTAAGTACTCACTATGATTCACAGCTTCTCCGAGTGGTATTGGTTCTCAGTCTTACTACCTCAATCTATACACACACACACAATATATATATATATATATATATATATATATATATATATATATAACAATATTTAGAGGCCACATGATGTGGTTCATCATTCTGTTTCCCATACAGTAACCCTGTTAGTTTTATCGAAGCTAACTGCTAACCTTCCCCAGGATGCAACCCACAACAGTTGCCTAACTCTCGAGTATCTATTTACTGTTTGGTGAAGAGTATCATCAGGTGAAAGGAAACATGCCTATCCGTCTCTGTCCCAGCCGGAGGATCGAACCAGGAATCATTGGGTTCCTTGGGTGTAGACCAACCAGTGGTCTACACCCAAGGATGTAGACCACTGCGCTCGTGGCTGTTCTATTTGATAAGAAACCTTGCCTATATATCGGGTTAATATTCTGTATGAGGCATTTTTGGATTGGGAGCTGAAGTGGTGTGACATCAGATGGTGTCAATGAGAAGCGAGGAAGTGTAAGAAATTTGAACAAGAGGACAAGCGTCGTCTGAGATCGTCAGAGAACTCATTCTCTTCGGCATCGTAGTCACCAGCGGAGTGTCTTTGGACAGGACGCAGACCTGTGACCGAAAAGTCGCTATGTCCTCCTCCCTTTCGCCGCTGATCTTGGACGGGATGTCGGGAAATTCGTCATACCTTTGGAAGTGAATAGCACTCCAGAGATCCCTGACAGTTGAGATAATGGAAAGGCTTTATTTATTAAACGAAAACCATAAGGAGAGAGAAACGTTAGCTAAGAATGATAGCCTGTCTTACAATCAAATAATCGAGTATGTGTTAATTTAATTAAAGAAGGACCAGCAAACAGGAAGTCTCATGTGGCTGCAACAGAAAATAGTCACTAACCCACTCAAAATGCTCCATGACCGTCCAAAACTTTGTCATTCTTCCTGTGTCTAATACGAGAATAGTATTTGCTAAGCGACATCCTCACTGGACTGAGGTCGCCGGGTGACTGACTTAAATGATGGGCGGGTGTTGCTTTCATAACTTCCCGGGAGTGCGGGGAACATCCCCTAGAAGGCTCGGGAAAGTCCCTATTCTACGCAGCCTGAAACACTGCAGTTTTGACGTAAGACTTGAAAGTTATCAGGAAATATCATGTAATTCAGTGAAAGAGGTATGTTTGGTAATATTTTTTTTTAATTGTTGTGTGGTATCATATATGCTAAATCTATAGGGTTTTTATTAGGGCAAATAATAATACAACTATACTAATAATACTGAAATTCAAAATAGGAACCCATTCTCAGGGTAAAGTGATTACCACAAGATAACAAACCCATTCACACACCAACTGAATAGTTATCTAGATATGTGTGATCTGATATAACAGTCTACTTCTAAATTTGTCAGTGAATCTCTGTCCTAAATAAAGAATATTCTCAAGTTTTATCTTTATTGTATTATAATTCGTTGGTTTAAAATATATAACGTCTATACTTAACTCATTTTCTATGAAACAGTCAAATAATTAGTTTTTTTGTAAATAATTTGGGTTTGAAGAATTAGTGTTTTTTTGTAAATAGAATTCTAGGGGATACTCAAATAGTTTTTTAATATCATATTTCACACATTTAAGAATAATACCCGGTATTAACGTAACTAAATGTAATAAAGCCTAGTGTAACCTTAATCTAGCATAACCTTTACCTAATGTAACCTTAACCTAACCAAACCATGGACAAGAAGTAGATAGTAGCACTAATTAATTAATAATTTTGAAGTAATTACCTCTAGGGTACCGCCTCCCTGTGAAGGACATGTTATGGCCAGTATTAGTTATGTTTCGTTTGGCCAGATTAGGTTAATTTAGGTTACTTAGCTTAGCCAGTGCTACTGTGCAGTACAGACTATATGCCTGTTGTGACGTCATGAACCACTCAAATAAGGCGACTAAGAACGTGACATCACGCATTAATCAGATACACCAGCAATAAACCTGACGTCACATCAAACATGCCGGCAATGAACGTGATGTCATATGCTAATAAAAAAAATAGCGGCTATGAACGCGGCCTCACATACTAATCAAGTATGACACACTATGGACGTATCTCGTGAGTGATATTGCGCGACTTTCATTGACAAATACACTGAATTAGGCTACGATAAGTTACATTATTTTGTATCTAAGCCACGCAGCGCCTTCACCCCCAATATTATTGTTGAGCCCAGCGCCAGACGCTGCACTAACTGACCTCTGAACTTATCATCAATGCCTTTTAAAAGATGGTGATAATAGTGGTTGCTACATTAATGGTATCTTCTACGTTGTGGACATGTGTTGGCCGCGGTGTTTTTCCCAGTCCTGGGATATTCAGTTGTTGTATGAAGCGCTGAATTGTGATGGACTCGTGTCTGTCATCTTATTAATTAAGTTTACCTAGTGCAGATGTCATTAATCGGTCCTCTGAATGTATGGGCTCGCACTACTAACCCTAAACTACCATTCCAGAGCTTACGGCTCTGAATTAGCAGCCCTGAAACCTACGGCTTTAAGCTACCAGTCTCAAACAACTGGCCCTGAACTCCAGACCTTAAGTCGCCAGCCCTGAGTGTGAGAAATATGCCCCCATGATCTTGTCTAGAAAGTTATTGAATTGAGTAAAGCGGAACCCGAGGCGAGTGACTCAACCTCGGGTCCGCAGTAAAGTTCCGACTCTTATATCACTCTGTACCTTGGGCACGGAGCGGGCTGGAGACCTGAGGCTTGTACCGAGTACCTTCTGTACGTATTGACTGGGTAATGGTGTTTTGTTTACCTGTGTGGAAAAGAGGCCGGGATGTTGAATCATGGGAAAGTGGTGCTATGGAGTATCATTGGAGTGGCGTGGGGGTGAGAGAGAGCGTTAAATATCACGATAAAAGAGAGAGGAATGTCAAGGGATGGATGGATAAGAAGGGAGTTGGAACATATATTTTTACATTGATTTATGCAGGAAATGCCCCTCTCCCACCCATCTCTCTGTCGCTCCCACACAGTCTTCTCCCGACCTCCCATCCATGACAATGCCAACTACCTCCACCCCTTCCCTCATTCCCCCTCCCACGCCTTCCTTCTCAAAACACAAACAACAAAGGCCCCTGACCACCAAACGAGGCAGCCATGACGTCACGACGGACCTGTGACGTCACGCCACATGTAAAAATATGCTATCAAGAAGATCCTGTTTTAACGGCCCCCAGCGGCTTCCCGTGTGGGAACAACACTTATACACCCTTCATTTCACCTCTTACTTTCCCAACACCATCAAGTATTAACGAATAATTAAATAGTGATGAATTGAGTCGGTAAGTCAGGTGAAGGACCGTTGAGTTTGGGCAATAACTGGATGGATTACCGCAGAAAGAACCTTGCCGTTGGCAAGCAGGAAAAACAATGGGATAATAATTTGATGATTGGAACGTATAAATTATAAACTGAAGAAAATTATTATATTAATACAAGTCTCAATGTAAATATACCGATATGTACTGAGTACTCGCAGAACAGTCTGAAGGACCGAACTAGAGGCCTGGGGTAATTGGGTGATCCAGATCATCACCAGAATCATTTTGACCAACTATACTGAAATAATGGACAGACAACGACAATAGAAGAGATAGAAGAGACAAAGCCGAAGCACTATATATAAAATACCCAACTATCAACGTTCTTATTGTTTTAAATTTAGCTACTCAGAACGAAGTGTCCATGTAGCACGGACTATGGTGAGCCCGTAAACCCAACTATCAACAGCCAGCTTAATCTTAAATAAATCGCATATCTTAAAGACCAAAACAGAACCTAAACTGCTGCGCTAGTTGACATTGACTTTTGTAACAGCCCACTTCACCTCATCCTATATGGTGTATATATTATAAAACCGATGTATCTATTTTTTTATGTTCATTTTTTTTTTATTTGACTCAAATATCTCAAAAACAAGATTATCGCGAATAAATGAACTCAATTACTGGCTCACATGGACATTTCGTTCTAAGTAGCTAAATCTAAAACAACAACGACGTATCTACTTTTTCTCTGCCTCCGAAGATACAGAGGAGAGCCTTAGCGAAACACGTCCTTCAACAACGCGCATCACACCTAATTAACTTGTAAAATGAAAATTTTAGAGTTAACTTCACAACTTTTTTCCCAAGTTAAAAAACTAATTAATATAAAGATTTGTGCTAGAATCATTAATATAACCCTTTTGGTTATATTCAATAACCCAAGCAGGACTTGTCCAGTGAAATTATATATATATATATATATATATATATATATATATATATATATATATATATATATATATATATATATATATATATATATATATATATATATATAATTATAGTCCTCCTCTTTCAGCTAAGCCTTGATGCTAGAAAAATAATTAGAGGGATAGAAGCCCTAAATCAGAAGATAGTAAATACAGAATATGCGGTCATATTCAATGAGATATATATTATATATATTATATATATATATATATATATATATATATATATATATATATATATATATATATATATATATATATATATATATATATATATATAGAGTGTGTGTACGTCGGATGGGATGAGAGGTGTCCTTATATGGTGTGTTTGCTCTCCTCTATGTCAACAGCATGTCACTGTGGGGAACTATATCCTGCTTCCCTCTCCGCGAGAGAATAACACCAGACACATTCTAGAGAAAGGGATATCCAACTCCCTCTAGGAACTCATCTGTTTAATATACCCAATGTCAATGTTTGCGAGGCTGTTATAGACGACGTCACGAGAGCCAAGCCGTTGACGTACACCAAGATCACTTTCACTTCACACTTGTGATACTCACGAGATTAATAACAGGCAACACAGTGCGCATAAGTGCAATTATGTACTATGTATAACAGTCAGGAAATGTACTTATTACACTTAGTATTAAAACGTACTGTCAATTTGGAGGATAGGTTGCAGCGTGATACATATTTACATATATACAAATTTACACATTCTTGTAAAGCCACTAGTACGCGTAGCGTTTCGGGCAGGTCCTTAACCCTAATTTCCCCGGAATACGACCCCGCCGAATCGTTTAACAACCAGGTACCCATTCACTGCTGGGTGAACAGAGGCTACAGTTAAGGACTGGCGCCCGGTCAATCTTCCCCGGCCAGGATTCGAACCCAAGGCAAGGCGCTTGCGAAACGCCAGGCGAGTATCTTACCACTGCGCCACGGAGACTGCTAAATTTTATTTAATTTTTTTTTATCAAATTCATTCTCTAGTAATATTTTCACAGTAGGTTGTTGTTGTTGTTGTTTTAGATTTAGCTACTCAGAACGAAATGTCCATGTAGCACGGGCTATGGTGATCCCGTAATCACAGTAAGCTACGTGCTCTGTCTTATGGCCTGCAGGTACAACTTATCGTGGGGTAGTTCGCTAGGCGGACTGCTGAGCTGCGACATGCAACCCTCAACACTTGCATAACTTCAGGGGGACCTGTTTACCAGCTAGGTGGACAGTGGCGTCAGATGAAAGGAAACGTGTCAAAGCGTCTCCGTCCCGCTCGGGGATCGAACCCGGGATGCTTGTGTGACGAGGACACGCACCACCGCTAGCGAGCGTTATAACAGCAACATTCCCTAAAATCTCACCAACAATCCCCTACGTCTTCTATACTTCTCCCTCCTTTATCAGTCCTCCTTCCTTTCTTCTTTATCCCCCTCTCTTCACACTAATTCTCCTTCTATACCCCCCTCCTTCCCTCCCTCGCTAATCCTCTCTCCCTCTCACTCAATTTCCCTCCCCAGAAGCTAGGGAAATTCCCTAAACGCCAGTGAGACCTTCAAACGGCTGTTGAGTATTTGTTTCGCTATTATATCTTTTAGCGTTACTTTCGCTGTTTCTACTTTCGTTGTAGGCAAACGCAAGCAGCCTAATAACACACAAGGTAAAGGATATAATGAAA